CGCACCCTTCGGAGCAGGGCCTGTGACAGGTGTGGAGGACTCCTAGCCCAGAGCCCGGATGGCACACAGCATGGCCCGACACCCGTCGGAAAGTGAGCATCAAGCAGGGGAACGGATCCCTGGAGCTTTGGCTGCGTCTGCGCCTGCGCACAGGCTCCTGCAGCAGACACACGAGTGCCCACATTCTCACGAATGCTCTCGCACCCCTCGTCCACAAACCTGACAGAGGAAAGCACGAGGACATCCCCGGTCACGGCAGTCAGTGTCCCAGGGACTGACCCCTGGACGCCATCTCATCCCAGATTGCTCCCTCTGGAGCCCAGCCCCCAGGCCAGCTCTTCTTCATGGATCAGGTCGGAGGTGACCCTATTAGTCTCATTAGCTTGTGACTTGACTGTAGGAAGGGGAAAGGCCAGGCCACCATCCAGACAACTGGTCTACCTGCACATAGGTCTCTGCCTTTAGAAGCACCTGGATACTTGGGGTCACACCTGCCGACAGTGCTCCCATCCCATCCGGCAGCCGCCTCCCTTTGCATTGCCCACTTGGCTTGGCCCTCGGATGCCAGCCCGGGCATCCACGCTCGGCATCAGAGTCTACAGGGTCAGGCCACATGCCTTCCTCTTGTCTCCCTCCAGAGACATCCTGAGAAGCAGGAAGAGCAAGTGGTCACTTTCTCCAAGCCACAAAGCAGAGAAATGCCAGCTGAAGTTGACTGAGTCCTTACTCTATGCTAATCACTGTGCTAAGCACCTCACCTGTATCATCCCCCTTGATGCGCACTGTGACTGTTGGGGAAGGATCTCATCACCTTACTTTATGTATGGGGAGTCTGGGGTTCAGAAGCTAAGAGATTTTAAATTCAGGCATCTGGGTGTGGAGCCCAAACTCCTGAGGACTCACCATGTGTATCTACTCAGAGTTGAAATGTGAGGAGACTCAAAAAGTGACTCCCAAGTTCCCCTCCTGGGTTCAGAGGCAACTGTGAGATGCATGTAGGTGACAGATGGCAAGCAGAAGACCAGCTTCATTCAAAGGAATTCACTGAGCACATACTATATGCCAAGTCCTACGCTCAGCACTGGGGACATTGCAGTGAAAACAGTGACCAAAAGGTTTGGTGGCCTGGAGTGATCACTCTAGTGTATATGGGGGGACATAATAAGACAGATAAGTGAAATAGTGGGGTGTTAGTAGGAAGTGCTCAGGAGAACACCAAAGCAGGGAAGGGGATACCAAGTGTGGAGGAGTGCCTTTTTTTTCCCCCTTTGAGACAGGGTCTAAGTTGCTTGAACGTGTGATCCTCCTGCTCATCCTCCCGAGTCACTGGGATTACAGGAGTGTGCCACCGTGCCCATCTGCCATTGTGATTTGAAGAAACCGAGAGGATGATACCTGAATTAAGACCTGAGGAATTCGCAAACTCAGGCTGATGCCCAGGGGAGGTGGGAAGCCAGGGAAGTGGCATTAGGAAGCTACCTGGAGGAGACCCGAGCCCCAGGGCCTGCAAGGACCCCTCCCTTGAGCTCACTCATCCTCCGTCTCCAGCAACGCCAGGCCCCATACACCTTCCCACAGAGCCCGCCCGCGAAGACTACCTGCAATCCCAGAGCCAACCAGAACGTGACCCTCTACGGGCAGGTGTGGCTAGCGACAGAGGCTGTGCAGAGGGAGCTGGGCCGAGCATGCTCAGCCCTTCCCCAAGCCAGCCCATCAGCTCCCTAGACAGGAAAAGAGAGGGCAGAGAGAGACGGGGAGGGACTGGCTGGCGCGTGCCCCCTGCATCCCTCCTCTCTGTTTAGCAAGTTTGGTTATTAAAAGCAGGGAAATGAGTCTGGCGCAAGCATCTGATGGGAGTCTGTCTGTCTCAGGCTGCCCATGTGCAGCCTTCAATTTTTTAAAATTTTATTTATTTATTTATTTATTTATTTATTTATTTTTATTTATTTATTTGTAGTACTGGGAGTTGAATCTAGTGTGTTTCCCATTGAACCACATCCTGATCCTTTTATTTTTTATTATTATTATTTTTTTTTAATATTGAAGCGGTCTCACAAAGTTGTTGAAGCTGGCCTCAAACTTGTAATCCTCCTGCCTCAGCCTCCCAAATCACTGAAATTACAGGTGTGTGCCACTCTGCCTGGCACTTGATTCTTCACCGTGTCAGCACGGTCACCAACTCCCTCAACACACCCATTAACCCCGCCGTGTGTGCAGAGCAGTGCTTTCTGTGACATGCTTCCGTCTGGAACAGGTAGAAGCAGACACCTCAGTGATGGAGCTGGACTGAAGCCAGGTCTACCTCCCTCCAGAGCCAGTGGCTGTCCCGTGTCCCCTCACTGGTAATCAGAGGCCAGGAGCAACTCAGCTGAGCCTGAAGCACCATCTGTACTTGGAAGTTGGCTGGGGAAACTCACAACGTGGAAGTCCAGTATTACGAGTGATAAGGCCCACACACTTCACCACAATGAAAAATAAACAAGACAATAATCATGAATAGGAAATGGACCGCAGTACCCTAGGCCCAACGTCACCAGTAATCGGGTGTGATCTGTCAAGATGGTGGCTCTCCTTCGGAGGTGCTAACTGCTTGCCAGGCACTGAGCCAGGTGCCGCCCATCTGGGGACTGACTTGCAGGACAGAGACACCTGGCCTCCTGTTCTGACCTTGGAACCTGCAACTCTGATATTTCTAGGGATATTTTGAGGACCCGTGGTCTGGAAGAGCTTTCCCTTCCCCAGCCTTTTCTATTCCTTTCAACATCTGGATGGAGGAACAATGGGGCCCCAAGAAGAAGGTGAGACCCACAGTCCCTCCGCTGCAGGAGCTGGGCTCAGCCTGAAGCCAACAAAACTGTCCTTGCTTGGCAAAGCTCAGAGCAGCCCCAACCTGGGTAACCAGCCAGGAGGCCCTGGGCAGGTCACACGCATTCCTGGGGCCTCCAGCTCCTCACCTGGCGAATGAGTGAAGGGCTTGGTCTCGGGTTGCTCTGTGGTCTGAACACGAAGCATAGAAAGCAGCAGGTATCCTGAAGGGCATGGGTATTAGAGGACAAGGACTGGTCCCCGTTGCTGTCAGAGACCAGGCCTAACAGCATGCAGCTGACAAAAGTGACCCTACAAAAATTTTATTGCACTTTTCAGCCTTTCCAGGGCTTGCTGAAACACAGAGCGCGTGACCCCACCCGCTAGAGTTGGTGGCCCTGCAGCAGCTCAGGGGTGGGGCCTGAGAATTTGCACTCCAACAAGTTCCCAGGTGGTGCCAGGTTGCTGCTCTTGGGCCCAGACTTTGAGGACACTGTCCTAGATCAGCAGCTCTCATCCTTGGTTGCACCTGCACCTGGAAGGTTCTGAAGCTTCAGAGATTCTGACGTCATCGCTTGAGGGTCCAGCTCAGGCACTGGGGGTTTGCACATCTCCCCGGGTGCCCTCACATGAAAACAAAACTGAGAGCCACGGCCCTAGGCAGAGGAAGGAGAGCTGCACAGGCCCTGAATGAGACGACCTGTGACACCTGCCACCCGCCCAACCTCTTGGGGCAGGCAGTCAGCTCCTGGGAAGGAGTCCAGAAAGCTCCACCATCACTAATGATAATAAAAGCCAAGACTTCCAGGCACTTACGCTGTCTTAAATACTTTACATCCAATAATTCATTAAACCCTCATTCCCCCTGGAGGTGAGTCTAAATGATACACAGAAGTCTGGTCGCTGGTGGGGACTCACACCGCCAGAGTGATTCGAAAACGGGCTGCCCACCTTAGGGTCCTTGCTCTTGCCCACAGTGCTAATCGGTATGTATTGGTGATTAATTCTTATAAAATAAAGATGTTTTACGGGGTGGGTGTCTCATTTTCTCAGGAGCACTGGGCCAAATATCATAGGATGTTTTTTTATAAATATTCAATTTACCTTTTTTTTTTTTTTCCTTGGAAACCCTGGTGCTTGAACTCGAGACCTCGCACATGTTCTGCAAGTGCTCGGAGCTGCACCCCCAGCCATTTTTATTTTATTTAGAGATAGAGTCTCGATAAGTTGCCCAGGCTGGCCTTGAACTTGAGACCCTCCAGAGTAGCTGGGACTGCAGGTGTGCACCACCACCCCTGGCTCGATTTACGTTTTCCAAAGCCCCCTTGCAGAGCTGATCTTATATCATGGCCCTGATGACAAGATTTCTGACCACCCTTCCCCCAACCCACGGTCCAGTCAAATAATCTACTTTGCAATTCAATTCAATTAAGCCAACATGACCAAGTACAGACTTGTGCCAGTCGCCAAGCTACAGACTGAGGACACAGAGACGCTGAGACCCCGAGACCACGGAGGAAGTGACCTGCCCAAGGGCAAATTAGAGGCAGGGCCAGCTGGGCTCATCTGATGTTCTTGTCTTTGAAGGCCTGACAGGTGGGCGGGAGAGGAAGGTGGCAGCCAGGAACTGCCATCCTGGTGGTCTCTCCTTTGGAAACTCACAGGCCAGGGACCCGCCTGGGTTCTGATGGCTCGTGGAGAAGACTGAGTTGGGGGCTAGCAGGAACCAGGGGAGGGGCACCAATGTCTAGGCTTGGGGCAAGAAGCAGCTCCTGGTCACCCACCTGCCAGGCTCAGGAGTTACCTGGGCACCTCGCTGGCCACTGCCCTCACAGGGAGACTGAGGCAGCAGGGACCACGGTGTCTTCCTGTCTGCCATCTCTTGAGCCTATTCACTTCCCCGATCCCTCCACCACGATACAGAGGCTGGCCTCCCCATTCCACGCCCAATCTATCACCCCTCCCTTCAACAAATGCCTGAGTGCCCACTGTGGGCCTGGCACTGTGCCACGTGCTGGGGTGCAGGATTGATTGAGACAGATGGGGTGACTGCATGAAGCCCACACTGTACTGTGCCTTTTCCCTGCTCCCAGGGGCTCTTGGGACCAAGCACAAACTCCCCGTCCAGGTATTTATATTCCAGAGTCCCCAGCCCCCACTGACTCTTCCAGAATGATCTCCTGTCATTCTGTCCCATCCCAGCCAATCCAAATAAAGCAAATGGTCATTCTCCCGAACAACCCAGCTCTTACCACCTCTTACCACTCAACTTTCCTGCCTCAGCACAACACATACCTGGCTCTCTGCAGAATCCCACCAACACCTGAGATTGCTATGTCTGCTTCCCAGACCCAGGGTACTGAGCTGCCAAGAACAGACTCTAGCATTGAGAAGCACCAATGTGTTTCAATGATGGATGAACCACCAATGTGTTCAAGGAAAGGTAGAGCAAAATTCCAACTACCTTCTTCATTCACTCCTT